AGCTCTTGAGCAGAGCTTGCAAATCCGATATTGTTGTCCTTGCTGGAGATCTCAACGCATAGATTGGTCGTCTATTATCATGCAAAAGTTAACTCGCTGGTCACCATGCGTTCGAGGAGACGTTCTGCTACTTGGCGGCTGTCTTTTGCGTCTCAATCATGATCACAGACTGATACTATCACAATCAGTTTCAGATGGCGAGGGTGTAGAGGATTGCAGATCAATTTGCTCCACATTTGTTGACTCAGACCACTTTTGTCTGTGCGAACATTTGCATGAGTTTCGGAGGGACCCCGAAAACGAAGCATTGTAAAGTAGAAACGAATAAGCCTAGTACTCTCTAGGTTCAGCAGAACTACCAATCCTCCCTGGCCGATGCACTCAGCCGCGACCTACCGCAGAACATTGATGAACACTGGACGTTCATGCAGAAGATCATGGCCTCTTCCGGGCAGTTAGTCTGTGGTCTTACTCAGCACACTATGAAGGCATGGATCTCCACGCGCTCCCAGGATCTAGTTAACCGCCACAGGAATGTCCCAGCAGGGTCCATTCATAATGAAGTGCGCCATTCTATCAGTCGGCAGCTCAAACAAAACCTACTCAGTGATCGTGAAGCCTGGTGGTCCTAGGGTGCTTCGGAAATGGAGGCTGCTACCCTCTCTGGCAATACTCCCAAGCTCTTCTAGTTGATTCGGTTCAGTGGCCACAGGAAGCCTGATGTTAATGGGGCTATTTGTGAAGCGGTTCGCTGATTGCCAACTTACAGAGATGCTTGGATCGATGGGCCAAACATTTTCATTCGCAGTTCAGTTGGCCCTCACTATCCACCAGTATTCCCTGCGGACTCACATACCTACCCTGGGTCGTCATGCTTGATCCACCCAACCTAGCAGAAATTTGTCTTGCGATTCGACACTTGAAAGGATTCAAGGCTGCCGTCTCAGACGGACTTCCTCCGAAGTTATCATTAACCAGCTAACCTCACTGTCCTCCGAAATCTGGCAAGGAGAAAAGGTATCTTCTTCCTGGGGCGAGATAGTTATTGTCCCGATTTTTAAGAAAAGTGCTCCACTCCACGCGCCAAATATTGGGGGATGAGTCTCATTTTGATTGCCTCTAAGCTAATGGTATCCATACTACCCCATAGACCAACCCCGATTCTTGAATCACAGTACTAGGGAGAACAAACTGGCTTCCGTCCTGGCGGCCAAATGCTCGAACATTGCCACATCTACTAGAGCCCTACCATCGTTGCTTTCTTAGACATCCGTGCTGCATTGGACTCAAATGATCGACCAGCGCTATGGCGTCACTTGCTAAAGAACGGGGTCCCAAAAAAGTACACTGCCATCCTGCGCGCACTCTACTTCCACATCTTCGGCAGACTGAAAGTCCATAACGAGCTTTCGTCGTCCTTCGCTGTCAAAAGTGGTGTACGACAGGGTTGTATTATGTCTCCCGCCTTTAATTTTGCGATTGAAAAGGTCCTGTGGAGTGCAATAGATCACGAAGATTTTGGTCTGCAGCTACTACCGGGTAAGCCAGCGACCGACTAATATTATGCCGATGACATCGCCTTATAATAATATAATAATGTGTCAGCTGTACGCCGTAACAGCGCTTCGCTGCCGTGCGACCACCACCAGTCGCACGCGGGCTGAGTATACCGCGAGGACACCCACTCCTACGCGGATTGGAACCCGCGCCGCAAGATTATGAGACAAGCTCGTTACCTCTAGGCTATAGACCGATTGACATCGCCTTGCTTAGCGATCACTGGCAGAGTATGTAAACCATTCTAAACCAATTGGCAATTGAGCAATCTAAATCCAGAATGTGCTTCGCCCCGTCAAAGTGTAAAGTGCTGCTCCAGGATTGGCATTCGCTCGTTCCCTTGCTCACTTATGAAGGCACACAGCTCGAACAAGTGGACAGCTTTGTCTACCTAGGCAGCTACGTGTCTGTTGGTGGCGCATCGCCAAAGTTCGGTCGGCGTTTGTCAACTTGAAACACGTGGGCGTCGTCGGGATGTCTCCCCGGGTTGCGTTTACAATGCCACTGTTCGGGAGGTGTTGGTATATGGAAGCAAGTGGTGGCTAGTTCGCGTGGATGACATGCGCCGGCTATCGGCCCTCGACGTTGGGTGCTTGAGGAGGATCGCAGGTGTGTCGTGGCAGTAACGTACCTGCGACGGTGAAGTCAGAAGTGGTGTCCTAAGGAATGCGAGTACCCTTTTCAACAGACTAGTATGCTGCGTTAGTTAAGATGGCTTGGTCACATCCTGCATATGTCAACTGATCGTTTGCCCTATTGCGCCTTTTCGCTCGTGCAGGGCTTGGCTGGAAAGGACCACGTGGCCGTCAGCCGTCCACCTGGCGACAGCATTTGAAATGTTGACTTCATGTCTTGTTGCCGTTAGATCCACACGTCTGACTGGTTAGGAACCAAAGGACGAGGAGTGCCGATGGCTAGAAACAATTCACGATATGACGCGCCGTCGAAACCAGTGGAAAAGCTATGTTCATACCAGTTTAGGTTAGGATGATTAATGCTTAGCAATTTAAAAAGACAACAAGAAACAAAAGAGTTCCGTTCATCTTGCGGCATTGTAGCTGAAGTGTGTTTCTCACCAGCTAATGTGCTTTGATGATGATGCGCTGAGAAAACCTGTTTTCTTCCAGTGATTGCCATGGTTTTGTTTAAATCAATGTCTATTCGTTAGACTGTAGCTAACACCACTAATACTATTACTCGTCGCAAATATTCTCGTTAAAACCAGGTTTCATGCTACCCGGTTCGCGGATCCGATGGAACAACTTCCGATGGTTACCAAGAACAGCCGTTGTTCCTATCTTAGACGCACGACGAAAGCGCTTTTAAACTATTGCTCATTGATCTACAGTAATGCAAAAAGGTGATCGCCAGCAACTGGAGTAGTTGAAGAGATCGTTCACTTAACGTCTGCTGAGATTGGCCTCTCGAAGCTCTTACGCACAGCGCTGCAAGGCGTTAAAACTAAACCCGGTATGGATCAGGCGGATTAAACTTAATATATGTCTCTTATTTGATTTCACACAAAAGCGAGTTCATGCCCCAAGTCTGGATTTGAAATACAAAGATAGCCCAAACGATAGTATTCGAGACAGCCACAGCTTGCTAAAAACAGAAAAGTCTAGAACTCAGGCATGTACGAAGGTTTACCTGAAGGTTTACGCAAAGATATGGAACAGACTGCCGTCCAAGTTACGAGAATGTTACTCACGTGAAATCTTTCGTAAGCAGGGCCGCAGCCTGTTAACTGTTGTAAAGGTCACTGAGCCGCTGAGGCAAAATGTCACGGAAGAGATGGCATATGAAAACTGCCTAGCAGATATCTAAAACATGGTATCAATCGTCATCATCTTATATCTCCCCGATTCAACATATGACGCGCCGCAACTGTTGGTCCCAAGAGACCATTCTGGCCTGCGGCGCAACAATACGAGAAAATGCCACACTGGGCCCTGCTACACAAACCTATAGATCAAGATATAGCTAGTGAATTTTGACGAATGATTTTGGTCTGCAACACTTAAGATCTATTTATTTATGAACAAAACGTTTTCCGTATTTCTAACCAATTCTGTTTCCAGAGTGCTTCATGATGTCCGTCAATGTCAACTACTACATATCTCGGCTGCCAATGAAGCATCTCTCCGGAACAACTTTTATTGTGATAACTTGAACAGAAACTGTCCTCAATTACCCACTTAATTCCACCAGATTAACCATAATAAGTATCTCACACTGTCGGGATATAAACCGTTTTATGTTCATTTACTTTCCACTTCACATTCGTCCTGTAATATTAAATACTTCTACTTTCCTGAAAACAAAAGTCCAGGAGCAGAAAGCAATTCTCAGTGCTTCGTGGTATCACATACTGTATTCTGCGAACGCATGCAACTGCTGGATAAACCTGAAGATTCTTTTCAGAACTGCTTTGTGTATGGATAATTCGAGCAGCCACCAATTACGCTGATCCAACTGCACAATTTGATCCAGAAATCCATCGACCTTTCTTATTTATCATCATTACCGTATTTACCTCTCTCCCTCCCCATATACTATATTTTTCTCTACTCCATTTCTGGCCACGACGGTTGAAACTTCCAAACCCATGGAAGACAAAATGTCATAGACTCCCTGGCGAGTAATAAAAGTGCTTGACTCAAAAAACCGATTGATGGTGCGGGCTATATGACCTGAATGCCTATATACACACAATTAGAAAGAGCCCTAAACAGCAGCTAACCTGCTTTTAAACCGTACCAGCACACGGTCAAAGCACACACTGAAGTGCGGGTGAAACCTTTCGATAGACTAGCTTGCATGAAAGCAGGTTCCCTGAAGACGATTTCGTGGTTGGCTTTATCACTACTAGAACAGTTAGATCTACCTTCAGTTATTATTGTTATCAACGCAATCGATCAATTAGCCCCGCAAAATAGTTTAGGAACTTCTCTGAAAAAATATCGTAGATATATAACCGGTCCCATACGATCCCGTATACATAATGACTAGACCAATCAGTTGAACTGTGGCTCGCACCGTCGAGGAATATACCTTTATTTATTTAAACCGTTAACGACTTCAGTTTGTTGTGGAAACGAGATTTATTTCTGGGTTCCCAATGAATGTGCAAATCAGAAATAGAGCAGGAACCCAGTTATGCCGACAAGGTGACGGGAAGTGCAACTCTCCAGTCATCACAAAGCACGCGACACAAAACAAGTGGCACTAAACTAGGAAATGGTCGTGTTTCTTCTGTACTTTACTAATCGAATGAGACGCACAAAACAGTGAAATCCATACCGGATACAAACCGGCTTGCTACACAAGCACTTAATATATAACATGGGCAAACCGCACGTCAAAACTGCTTGAAACCCGCAGTGTGCAGCCAGAAAGGTTTAACGATTGCCAATGATTCACTCAATAGAGGGTATTTAACTTACCTCAGCAGAAAAAAATTGCAAATGCTTTCGACGATATGTTCCTGAGCTAATGTTAATAGTATGTACCTCCCCATCAGTTTTAATGACGATTGCAGATTTTCAAACATTGTGAGTACCGTCAACTCTGAATCTTCCCCTGAATGAATGGCATCCAGAGTCCCTTTGTCTACGATACAGGTAAAGGGGTTCATGTTGGTAGACTGCATGTAAGTAGACAAATGTAATACATCCAGACATTCGTAGCGAAGACCACCGTTTCGAACTGAGTTTCCATGTTTCTTGTTCATTTCCATCACAACAGTCTCGCTGGAACATGTGGTAAAATAAAATAGCGCGCACCTGGTATCAATGTTGAAAACTGAAGCACACTTGATTCGGTCATTCAGCATAAATCCCAGTTCAGAGTTACCGCAACCGATGATCAAAACATTGTCTGAGCTTTTGACGTATTTTGCAAAGAAGGCACTATGCTGAAGAAAGTCTCCGTACCACTCGAAAGACTTTCGTGAGGCGAAGAAACGATCCCAATACTCTTTTTTCGCGAACGCTTCACTTCTCTTAGGTAAAAGACTGTTCATCTCGAAGAAAGTGTGTTCAAACAGTTGCTATGAAGAAGCTGCATTCATGTTCACGCTACAGCCAGAGAGAATAATCAAAAGAGTACCCCTCATGGAACGTTGTAAAACTGAGGGCAATGCTACCTAAGTAGATATCGAGCACATCAGGAAAGTTACAGTGGTTTTCAGGAAGAGACTGGAAGCCTATGCAACCGATCAGTCATGGTGTTTGGTAGTGCTTTGAGACTAAGTATCAATTGCCCCAGATCCCGCTTCCTCTGTAAGAAACAGAATATAGCAAAAATCTAAAACGCGGGTATCGCGCACACGTAAGCCCTACTCCTCCCAAGACATGCAGGTGGAATCGGGCTAGTTGCTAGTAAACACACCTGCTCTGGAATGTCTGAGTACGATGCAACATTCCAAGGAGAAAGAAACATACAAGGTTTAAATCATTTAACAAGGTCAGTAGTGCGCACTGTCACCACCACCAACAGCAATGCATTATTTATGTGGACTGATACTTGGTCGCCGTGCAACCGCAATGGCTTACAGAATGAGGAATAACAGACCGGAGAGAAGCGGAACTTCTGTAAAACCTAAATGCCCTAAGTAAACATTACTCAAGCCTTCCCGTCTTCTTATTCCCCCTCTTGCGCTTTTTCACCCTTATCGTCCCGTTCCAGCTTCACTTTTATCCCCCCTGTTTTCAACCCCCCGATTCTCGGCCCTCCCCCACCTTGCTTCAATAGTCGCTTGCCTTTTAGTTTCAACTCACATTTGAACGCGGAGCGTCATTCCTGCCCTGTCAACAGGCCCATGTCCAAGCAAGCGGCCCATTCCAGTTCATCGGCTTCCATTTAGAGCCCTCGATCCTCCTTCAGATTGGCATGCCTCAATGTTCGCACATTGCTTCAGATCGGTCAACAGGCAGCACTTGCTCGAACATTAGAGACCCTATCGATTGATATCTGCTGCTTATCGGAGACCCGCCTGCAAGACTCGAGCTCTGTGATCACTCTACGATCCCCTTCAGGTGACACTAGCAGCACTTTCTCGTTGCGCCTATCCGGTGACGATGCAGCTTCGAGCACCGGCCAAGCCGGTGTTGGTATTGCCCTGAGTCCCCGGGCTGAAGCTACTCTGGTTGATTGGATTCCAACCAGTAGCCGGATGTGTGCGGTCCGATTGGCTGGCTCGTTCAAAGCTTCGAAGTCACGTAGGACTAACAGGTGTCTATTCGTCATCGCTGCCTATGCACCGACAAACTGTAGCGATGACTCGGTAAAAGACGACTTCTATCGTCAACTGAACGAGCTCCTTAGCCACAGAAGAAGCTCGGACACTGTAGTGCTGGCTGGGGATCTGAACGCTCAAGTTGGAAAATTATCCACAGATGAGCTGCATCTGGGCGGCCAACATGGTATAGGCTCCCGTAATGATAACGGTGAGCGGTTACTTCATTTGTGTGAGGATGCTCGCTTATTTCTTGCGAGCACTAATTTCCGACACAGCACCCGCCGAAGGGTGACTTGGCGCCCACCAGCCTCGAACCAGCTATGGACGCAAATCGATCACATTGCGATAAGTTACCGATGGAGAGGCTGCGTCCAGAACTGTCGCTCGATTTGGAGCACAGGTGTGGACACCGACCATGCACTTGTATGTGCTGACATTCGGATGCGTTTTGGCGGACGCCCACGACGACGTTGTGAGCGCATTGACACCAGCCAACTGGCGAAGCCAGCTGTTCTGAATGCCTATCAAAGTACGCTGTCATGCGAGTTGGATAAACGCTCACTGGATGCAATTGAAGCTCACTGGTCTCATATTCACCAGACCTTACTAGCAGCAGGCAAATCCTCATGTGGTGTGTCTAATCGCCAACATGGACATTGGGTCTCTTCACAGTCTCTGGAACTTATCGATGCTCGCCGGCATATTCCGGCTGGAAGCGAATACAATGAAACTCGCAAAGAGCTCCGGGCAAAACTCCGTGCTAGCCTGAAGAGAGACCGCGAATCCTGGTGGTCTCATCGTGCAACAGATGGAAATGGCCGCTGCCCTTGGTAACCATCGTGAGTTATTCCGTCTGATACGGGAAACGGGCAGCAGGAGACCTGGTGTTAGTGAAACTATACGTGACGAGAGTGGACAGCCTATCCACAACTTATCAAAACGCTTAGAGCGTTGGGCTGAGCACTTTAAAAGGCAATTTAATCGGTCGGAATTGTTAGATTTCTCGCCGGCCACTGATCGCCTCACTCCCTGGGCTGTCCCTTTGGATCCACCCTCTCGCTCAGAAGTCGAACGTGAGATCGGACTGTTGAAGTTAAATAAAGCCGCGGGACCAGATGATCTTCCTCCAGCCCTCTTCAAATTCGGGGGACCTGCTCTTATGGATGATTTACACGAGTTACTAGTCAAACTGTGGGAGCAGGAAACTGTCCCAACCGATTGGAGCCGCTCCGTCATAGTCCCAATTTTCAAAGGAGGCTCACGATCGGAATGCGGCAGCCATAAAGGAATCAGTCTGATCTCCATCGCCTCCAAATTGCTTGCCTCTGTCATCCTTCACAGACTGACTGGCACTCGTGAAAGCCAGATTCGTGAAGAGCAAGCTGGATTTCGTCGAGGTCGTGGCTGCATTGACCACATCTTCACCTTGCGTCAGTTGTTGGAGCACCGTCACATATATTGGCGGCCCACCATTGTCGTGTTCCTCGATATCAAAGGTGCATTCGATTCGGTGGATAGACATGCACTTTGGGACTGTCTACTCAGGAAAGGTGTGCCCGAGAAATATGTGATTATCCGATCATTATATGCTCGTAGCTCGGGCAGAGTGAGGGCTTACGGCAAGTTGTCGTCGCCCTTTAGTATCTCCAGCGGCGTGAGACAAGGATGCCCGCTGTCACCTTTCCTCTTCAACTTCGCTGTTGACGAAGTCATGGAAATCGCGTTTACAGGACACGACTTAGAAGGTGTGGAGCTACTCCCAGGAGAACGACTTCTTGACTTAGAGTATGCTGATGATATTGCCCTAATCTGTGACAGCTCACAAATGTGCCAAGCGGCACTGGACAGATTAGCACTAGCTGTCCGTCACTTCGGGCTTTGCTTCGCACCCTCGAAGTGCAAAGCGTTCCTCCAAGATTGGTCTGGACCGCCCCCTACGCTGACCCTTGGTGGGGATCAGCTAGAAGTCGTTCAAAAATTCAACTACCTGGGAAGTTGTATCAGCACCCGTGGGATTGAAGATGAGATCACGAACCGTATAGCAAAAGCTCTGGGCGCTTTTGCTAACCTTCGCCACTTATGGCGCCGGCGCGACATCACTCTTGCCCTGAAGGGTAGAGTGTACAATGCAGCAGTACGTTCGACCCTACTGTACGGTTGTGAAACCTGGCCGCTTAAAGCAGCGGACCTGAAGAGGCTAGTTACGTTCGACCACCGGTGTCTTCGTAATTTAGCTCACATCTGGTGGGAACACCGCGTGAGCAACGAGCGTGTCCGACGCCTTGTTTATGGCACAGGAAAAGGAACTGAACCGCTCAGCACCGTTATTTCACGCACCAGGCTCCGATGGCTCGGCCACGTGTTGCGCATGCCAGCCCACCGACTCCCTCGACGTGCGTTGTTTGCGCGCCGGGGATGTGGATGGAAGAAGAGGAGGGGTGGTCAAGCGATGACCTGGTCCAGAGGAATGAAGGCCCTCACTTCTGAGCTGGCCTCGGTTGGAGCGTCTCGGCTCCCTGGTTGGGGTCCGAAAGACGATGAACACGTTTGGTTGGACACACTTGCTGACATGGCTAGGAGCCGACCTCAGTGGCGTTCGTGCTGTGAGTTTCTTTGTCCCACCCCATCCTTCTTAGCCTTCCCCTCCAACCACGATCTCATTATTTAACCTTATATAATTTTGCATAGTAATTTTTTGATGCATAGTAGCCGGCTGGTAGCTTACCGGAACGATGCCCATCCGTTACCGGTAGCTCAGCCGGCTTGCCCCAGTTGAATTCTTTTTTTCTGTGTATTGCGGCACAGTAGCTGAGGTGTTCCCCACCTCTAGCTAACGTGTATGATGAATGAATGAAGTAAACATTAAGGGTCATGGCACCTACGCGTTGTCAGTAACATACAGCTAAAAAGAGCTGGATGTTGTACAAAGATAAGACGGCTTTCACGGTACTGCTTCGTATTCAGCCAACACCCCTCAGATATCTCAGCACCAAACACACTTTAAGCAGGCAGTCCGACTAGAAGACAGCAGACACGCCACTGGTGCCGGCTTCGAGACGTCCTGTAACGTCTCGAGCTAAGCACAAGGTGGGTCATGTGGACTCCAGCAGGGAAGGCCACATGGACCAAAAACACCCAGTTTAGTCGTCAGTGACTTCATTTTCTGCAAGGAAATTAACTGCTGCCCACCACGAGCATTGCGCCATCCTACAACCGTTAAACAAAACAGCTCTCCTGGGTAGACCGTGACTAGGCATAAGAACGTGCATGGGCCGTAACGTTTTCAACATCATTTACTGTCTTGAGGAACCAACCCGATTTTTACTGCGCCGCACCCGCATACGCAAATTGTCGTTCTGCGTATGCCGCTGCCATCTGACAACAGTAATACTGCGCAGGCAGCGGTGATCAAAAACCTGGCGCTTCAGATCCTCGGACCGGTGACAAATTTCACTACCAGAATAGGACGACCTTCATTGAGTTCATTGAGTTGTAGAGGGCAGAAGGAGATCCCAGGTCAGCCCCATAACCTCCGGTTCAGAACAGGAGTATGTGACATTGCGACCAGCTGTTCTAGTGGGCTGAAGCAGTCACAGTAGAACAGTGCAATCCCGATATCTTACGCAATTGGAAGTCTAAGAGCCGCTTGAAAGCTTCATCAGACTGTGCACTGATAACGTTCACCAGAAGGCGGTTCCAGTCGTTTATCACCAGGGTGGATAAGGCGACAGCAGGGTGAACATGGAGCCTCCTCGGTATAAAGAGTTTCAAGTTGTGACCTT